TCAGAGTGACACAAACTTCACAACTATTCAAAGCCTCCCTTGATAGTCTGGCAGGCCTCTTTGTGACAGGTGAGGTCTTCTAACCTGAGCACACACGCTTACCCTGTGGGGACATTCTCCCACTGTCACTCTCCACCACTCTGAAGCTGGTCTCACACCAGTCAGAACAGATATTATTAAAAAGTCAAAAAGTAACAGATGCTGGCAAGGTTGCAGAGAAAACGCAATATGGATACACTGTTGGCAGGAGTGTAAATTAGTTCAACTATTGTAGAAAGCAGTGTAGGGATCCCTCAAAAAACTAAAAACAGGAACTACCATTGACCCAGCAATCCCATTACTTGGTAAATACCCAAAGGAATATAAATTGTTCTACCATAAAGACACATACACGCATATGTTCATTGCAGCACTATTCACAACAGCAAAGACCTAAATGCCCACCAACAATAGACTAGATGAAGAAAATGTGGTACATATACACCATGAAATACTATGCAGCCATAAAAAAGATCATATCTTCTGCAAGAGATCATATCTTCTGCAAGAACATGGGTAAAGCTGGAGGTCATTATCCTTAACAAACTAATGCAGGAGCAGAAAACCAAATACCACATGTGCTCACTTATAAGTGGGAGCTAAATAATGAAAACACATAGACGTAAAGAGGAGAACAACAGACACCAGGGCCTTCTTGAGGGTGGAGGGTAGGAGGAAGAAAGGGAGCAGGGGAAGTAATTATTGGGTACTAGGTTTAGTACCTGGGTGACTAAATATTCTGTACACCAAACCTCCATGACACAAGTTTACCTATATAACAAACCTGCACATGTACCCCTGAACCCAAAATAAAAGGTTCAAAAAGTAAAGTTTTTTCAAATCTGGTGAGCACTCAAACCTGCCAAGAGGTCTGACCAGTCATAAGCACATGTCATGTGGCTTAATGCCCCCAACACCCCAGAGATTCACACACCTTCCCCCCAACACTTTACACAATGCAGAGGCAGCCTGCTGGGATTTTTGTTGTTGTTGTTTCTGTCGTTTTTGTTGTTTTCTGTTTTTGAGGCAGGGTCTCGCTTGTCACCCAAGCTGGAGTGCAGTGGCATGACCTTGGCTCGCTGCAACCTCCACCTCCCGGGCTTCAGCAATTCTCCTGTCTCAGCCTCCCAAGTAGCTCAGACCAGAGGTGCATGCCACCATGCATGGCTAATTTTGTTCTTTTATTTTTCATAGAGATGGTGGTGGTGGTGGGAGATGATCTCACTATGTTGCCCAGTCTGGTCTCAAACTCCTGAGCTCAAGGAGGTTGAACTCTTCCCACCTTGGCCTCCTGAACTGCTGGGATTATTGAGTGAGCCACCGTGCCCAGCCCAGCCTGCTGGTTTTAAAGTAACACAGGAGAGAGGAAGATGAACCCAAACCCCTCCTATTTAGGTCTTTTAGCAAAGACCTAAATACTCATCAACAATAGACTAGATAAAGAAAATGTGGTACGTATACACCATGGAATACTATGCAGCCATAAAAAAGACCATATCTTCTGCAAGAGATCATATCTTCTGCAAGAGAGGAAGATGACCCAAAACCCCGCTCCCCATTTAGATGCCTCTAAAGCCTAGGTATCTTCCACTCCACTGAAACAGCCTGTGCAGAGATTGGACAGAGAGGACTCTCACTGTACAAAGGAGGAAACCAGAGCCCAAGAGGTTAAGTAGCATGAACAGCTAAGAGGAGCCTCTCTCTTCTGTCTTCTCACTGCCTCTTGCCTTATGATTTCACACAAAGCAGACCCCTAATGGGGAAGCATAAGAGAGATATGGAAGAACCTAGCTCAAGAGTAAAGTAAACCATTTAGTAAACACTAAAGAAAGCTGATCCCCAAAGATAACTGCGATATTCACCATACCTACCACTGGGATCCCTGGCTTTGCTTAATAACCAAACCCACTTAAATCCATAAGGAATTGGTTCTTTGAAAGGGTGTTGTTATGACAACCATAACTTTGACTCTTCTCTGGAGTACCAACCACAACTGACTTGATGCAACCATTTCCTTTTTACACAGAAAGGGGCATTAAAAGTAGACCGTGCATTGCTGTGTACCATTGGGCAAGTAATTTCTCTTCTCTAGGCCTCAGTTTTCCCATCTGAGAAGTAAAAGGGTCCAGTCAGATGATTTCTGAAGTTCCTTACAGGGTCAGTGTCTTGGTGCGAAAACTACTGCAGTGCCAAGTAGAATTGACGTAGGATTTTTCTTCTTGGTCTCCTGGCCAGTGACGCCCCACCTGTGCCTCGCTTGGCCATGCTGGTGTGCCTCAGCTCACCTGTGTTATAGAGTACCTGAATTCCGAGCTCTTGTACCACAGCAAAGAATAATGAGGATATGCTGAACATTGAAGGGTGAGGAGGGCAGAGAAGAGTTTTATTGAGTGATGAAAACAGCTTTAGCAGAGAGGGGATCCGGTGTTGGTCCCCTAGTTGAAGACAGGAAAAGTGCCCCAGTGTGGCTGGATCAGGGGCCCTTTAAGGACTCAGAATGGAGAGCGCAGGCTGACCGGTTTGTGAGTATGCAAAAAAAGATTAAAGCGAAGACACCACTTAAGGGTGGGCAAGGCAGTGTAGAAAACCAATTAGGCAAAAGGGTAGGCATATGTAAAATAGGTGAAAGGTAGGGATCAATAAGGGGAAAGCGCGCCAAACAGGAAGACGAGTTCTCAGTCTGGTCCGAGGATTTAACTTGCAGCTTGGTTTTCAGGATTGAAACTGTCTTTGGCCTAGAGGTGGGGATTTCACCAGGTACCTGCCCCTAACTGCCTAGGCATTTCGCTGCCTCCTGTTGCTATCAGAATCATCGTGAAAGTGAAACACCCTGGAAACTCTAAGGAAAAGAAACAAGTGTAACTAGGAGATAACAGGAACAGTGCAAAACAACATGTTAACTTTGGGGAAACCCGGCTCCTCGGTGTTTTTTTGGTTTTCCTGCTTCTCTGCCAAATACAAAAATAAGCAGCTACTTCCATGGGACTCTCATTAAAAAAATAAATAAATAAATAAAATCAATGAAAACAATGCTTTTCCATGAGTGGCTCAGGAGTAGCTTGTGAAGAGACACTTTACTCCCAGTGGGGCCGATGTCAACAGCCCATGCTTTTGCCCAAACAAAGGCCTCCTGGCACAGGGATGAGAAGCAAAACATCAGTCTCCATACTTGGCCTTATTCCAATTTGAGGGGAAGGGGCAGCCAGGAGAGAAAAAATAACTAAGCTTTTGAAAGGCTAGAAGGAAAGTAAGGAATTACTAGATCTATTTTTTTCTCAACAGAATAAAGAACTCTTGAAAGGGATAATGGAAGGGTGCAGCTTTCGATTTGAATTACTCTCTTTGTTTAACTCTGTTCTGCCTAAGGCCATTGCGTTTTCAGCCAACCACAGAATCCCGGTTTTGCCTTTAGTCGTCTGCCGGGCAATGCAGTGTGGGAGTGGGGAGACCCACACTCTGTGGCCCGTTTCACCCGGTTTAAACTTGGACAGGTGGCTGAACTCTCCGGCATCAGCTTCCTGCCTGTAAAATAAGAAGGTTCCCTAGATGCTCTCTAGACCTTTTCAATAACAGTGGAATAGGGTTGGAGGCTCTCCAGCTCCCCCCCACTCCCCCCGACAGGTTAATCTTCAGCTACGCTAGCCAAGGTGAGGCAGCAGCCCACCTGCCTCGCAGGCACACACTCAGGCCGCAGCGCCTCGGTTCCTGCGCCACTGCGCGCCCACAACCTGACCAACACCAACGCCTCAGAGACCAATTCACCCCCAAACCATCTCCCTGCTGCAGATCGTGTCTGATTAAGTAACATCTGCAAAGCTGAGCTGAGCATATGTAAGCAAAGAGAAAGCAAAACAAACAAGAGTCCTCTCTTTCCGGACCTCGGAATTTCTTTCAAATAAACTCAGAACTGAACATTATATGTACCCAGCTAGAACACCAGGTCTCAGCTGGCCTTGATTGTGAAAATGCCTAACAAGCCAAAAGAGGCTGGTGACATCTGGGGTGTCTGGGCACACGGACTCGGGCCTCAGAGGCAAAGCGCAGGACCGCTGTGGGTGACGCGTACATTGACCCTTCTTCCCGCAGGCTGAGGAGGCGCCCAAAATATGACCACGAAGGCAATCACCACAGTAGGTCAGCACGGGGACAATAGTAGGTCCAGCACGATCTTTATTTGAGGGGCACTGTTAGACCCTTAATCCAACCCACATCTCTAAGAGACCTCCAGGAAGTGGAGGTGAGGGGTTGTCCACTTCACCCAAAGGAATGCGCCACGGCCGGGGACGGACTCTCAGCCTGGGGTAACCTTTTCGTAGCTGCTTTCTTGTTTTGATTTCCCTTTTTAAGTCTGACAGTTTAGTCTGATGCCCGAGCAGTACCTTTTAAATGTCTCTCTCGCCCTCCTCCAGCAAGCGGCGCCTCTAGAGCCACTCCCTCCCCAGAGGCTGAGACAATGGCCCGGCACCGCAGGGCAGCTCCTAAGGATTCCCAGTGTGTCCAGGTCTCTGGGCAGGGCGCACGTGCGTTTGTTATGGTGCCTGTGCCCACTCCGCTGCCACGGGCCTCAGTTTCTCCAGCCGTAAACCCAGCAGGCAGGCGGGATTTAAAGGAACCCAGACTCTGCGAGGCGCACCAGCCTCCCCACCCCACCCAATACTGACGGTGCGGTGGAGAAATCCGTGTTCCCCGGGGCTGTGCGCACGTGGGTTTGTTGTGGATCCGCAGGCTCGCGGAGCCAGAGAGAAGCCAGGGTGGCCCCTTGGCCCAGACAAATATACACAGAGCCCCAGCCAAGAAGTGGCCAGCCGGGGAGCCAAGGCAGCTGAGGCGGCGCTGGAGAGAGAGTCCCTGCGACCTAGGCGCGCTACGGCCCCGCGGCTCGGCTCTCCTCCCGCAGCCCCTTTGCATCACACTCCCCCGGGAGGGCCCGAGCCGCACCGCCCACCGCACCCCCTACTCACACGCTGCACTCTCGGCCGCGGAGGCTACTGTTGCTCCGCCCGCTCCACGCCCACGCCGGTCGGTCGGTACCGGCTCCCTTTGTTAGCGCGGGGCAGTGCCCCAGGCGTCCTCCCCAACCCAGCCCTACCCAGGACCCCCCTCCCCCAGGTGACTCCAGAAAACGCGCTTGGCAAGGGCAGAGCACCCGGGAGCTGGGAGCCCCACGAGGGAGTCTCGGAGGAGGGGTCCGCTGGGAAGGAACGGGGGATAGAAGACGCAGAGTGAAGGGACTGGAGAAGGAGGGAAGAAGAGCGCGGCGGAGGGGCGGGAAGGAAGCGAGTCGCCTCCGTATGCAAATAGAGTTGCGAAGACTGGGTCCGTCTCCGCCCCGCTCCACCTCGCCCCAGAGACCACACCGCACCCCAAACACGCCCGCCCGGAGGTCACGAGCGAGCGGGCTTGGGACTAAGGGTTCCTGTTGACGGCACCGGGTGATGCTAGAATCCTGCCTCCCCTCAAGGAGTGTGGCTCCAGGACCGAGTGGGAGGGGCCACGAGGCTGCACAAGGACCCCTAAATGCCTCTTCCCAGCTTGGCCACGAGGGGCGAATCCAGCTGCGTTTGGCTTTTGGTCCTAACAAGCGGGCACTGTACACCCGGGATCTGCCACCGACTGACTGCGAGACCCTGAGGAAGTCACTTAACCTCACTGAAGACTCGTATTCCTCTTACGTAGAATAGGAAAGAACAAAATTTTCCCCTACGTTTAGCATTAACCTCTTAACATTGGGTCATGGCTCGTACTAGGCTCTCTCAAATGGCAAATACAGAAGGAGAGGCGTGTCCTGGAACCCCTGCACTCAGAGGCTTCCACTCGAAGCTGCAAGCTGGAAAACCGAAGCCTCAGGCGGGGCGGTGAAGGGAGTGAGCGCTACATCCTGGGAGCCCACCTTTCCTCTTCTGCAAAATGGAGATATTAAAGAAAGCGTTGTTTTCAGTATTATGTGCAATGACCTATTTGAAACAGTTATCTTAGTGTCTGGCGTGTAGAAGGTGCTCCTAACAGTAAAACGTATGCATGAGTGAATGAATAGAAGCAGACAAGTTCAGAAGACTATTTCTTTTCACCAGGATGAAGATGGGGCCGCTGGGGAAGGACAGAGGATTGAGCAAGCTGCCTGCTGACCATCCCTGGTGGCCCCAAGTTGATTTTCCTAAGACTGAAAAAACTGCCCAACAGGAGGCGGGGGGGCCTTTAAGGCCTCCACTCCAGCTTCCATAGCCCAAAGAGAAGATGTGACTGCTGGAAGCAATAGTCGTATCACAATGTCTACTGAGTGCCCACCAGGCATCAGGCTGTGTGCTGGGTGGGAAAGGGGGAAAGGAAGGAGAGGCTGGAAGGTCTGGGAGTCCTCTGGGAATACAAAGTCCAGGGCATACTTAGAGTGCCTGCAATCCAGGCCCAGATTCCTGTCTCCAAATGAGATGGCTATTCCCCATCACCAACCTGGGAAAGGGACGTTACATCCTCAGCCCATCCCCGGCACCCTTCTTCCAAACACTGCGTCCTCCCTGTCCTGATCCTGGCTCCCTTCTGCTGATGCTGTTATTCCCTTCCCTGCTGCCCTTGAGGCATTTTTTGCTCAGTACAAAGAGCTCCAATTGAAGGGGGTGCCAGATAAGAGTGAATTCAAATCTTTATGGCCAACTAACTGTGCCTTCTTGGGTGAGTTCCACATCCTGTGAGCCTCCCTTTCCTCTTCTGCAAAGTGGAGATATTAAGAAAAGCATTGCTTTCAGGATTACATGCAATGGCCTATGTGAAACACTTAGCTTAGGGTCTGGCACGCAGAAGTTGCTCCTAACAGTAAAATGTAAGTATGAGTGAATGAATAGAAGCAGACAAGTTCAGAAGACTATTTCTGGAAGGATGCTACATTGAAGATTTTAGGCCCTATTCTAAAAAGGGGGAGAGGAGGCAGCTATTAAAAGATTCTGTGCAGTAGCATGACATGCATCTTTGTATTTTACAAGGATTCCTCTGGCACCACACTGGAAAATAGATGGCAGAAGCAGAGAATACAAAAGACTAGCTTGGAAGCTGACATCAACCAAGATATAATAAGAGCCTGAACTATGTCAGTGACTGTCAAGGCATACAAAAAAGGACATCTAAATTATAGCTACCATTTGGGGATCTGATGGTTTGGCTCTGTGTCCCCACCCAAAAATCTCATCTTGAATTGTAATCTGTGTGTGTCAAGGGAGGGTCCTCATGGGAGGTGACTGGATTATAGGGACAGATTCCCCCATGATGTTCTTATGTTAGGGAGTTCTCATGGGATCTAGTTGTTTGGTAAGTGTCTGGCATTTCCCCGACATTCTTTCTCTCCTGCCACCATGTAAGGTGTGCCTTGCTTCCCCTTCACCTTCCACCATGATTATAAGTCTCCTCAGGCCTCTCCAGCTATGTGGTACTGTGAGTCAATTAACCCTCTTTTATTTATAAATTACCCAGTCTGAGGTAATTTATAATTTTCTCAGTAGAGTGAAAATGGACTAATACAGGATTAAAAGCACCTTGTTTATTACATTGTCTCTCCTTTTCATAAGTAGCGGTCTTAGTCCTATTTTATGGATTAGGAAACTGAAGTCATCTAGGAAGTGGAGAAGACAGAATTTGACATATGCTTTCACATTCTTTGAAAGCCTTAGGGTGGGGAGGTTGGGGAGATATAACATGGGGAGAAATGCCAGATACAGGTGACGGGGGGATGGAGGCAGCAAACCACCTTGCCGTGTATGTACCTATGCAACAATCCTGCACGATCTGTACATGTACCCCAGAACCTAAAGTACAATAAATGTTTAAAATAAAAAAGCCTTAATCATCTCCTTCATCCTCACCCATTTATCAACAAGAACGAACAATAAAAGCAGGAGAGGCTCTTTCAAACAGTTGGCCAGTCCCCACTCCACATTTCTCATTTCCAGAGAACTGGAAAACCAAAATAAGGAGAAAACAAGGGAGAACGTTATTTTAACACTGAGATAAGCACAGATGATAGGACACATATGAAAATTTCCTGGGACTCTGAGACAAATGAGCGGGCAGCAGACAAATTTACTCCTGCTAAAATTCCAGGGTGAGAGTCATTGAGACAAATTTACTCCTGGTAAAATTCCAGGATGAGAGTCATTGTGGAGAAGCCTCCACCAAGTTTCTCTCTCATCGATTGGGACCCTCTGACCTATAAGTGAGAGGCAGAGGCTGGGACATGACTTTGGAGATGAACCTGTCCTCCCTAGTCCGTATGTGTGAGGCTTCTCCTCCCATTGTCTGTGAGGTCCCTGCCTTGACTGGTTGGTTTTGGTTTTTTTAAAGAATACAGATACCCACTTTCCCTCTGGACACTATCTCGGTTCTGGGATAGTTCTCCACCCACAAAGATAGTTCTTCCTGCTTTGGTCTAAATGTTGTATCCCCCCAAAATTCGTACAGTGAATTCCCAACCCCCAAGATGATGGTATTAGGAGGTGGAGCCTTTGGACGAGGTGATTCAGCCATGAGGGCAGAGCCCTCACAAATGGAACTAGCGCCCTTATAAAAGAGATCCGAGCCAGGTGTGGTGGCTCATGCCTGTAATCCCAGAATTTTGGGAGGTTGAGGCAGGTAGATCACCTGAGGTCAGGAGTTCGAGACTAGTCTGGCCAACATGGTGAAACTTCATCTCTACTAAAAATACAAAAAATTAGCTGGATGTGGTGGCTCCCACCTGTAGTCCCAGGTACTTGGGAGGCTGAGGCAGGAAAACTGTTTGAACCCACGAGGCAGAGGTTGCAGTGAGTCTAGATCACACCACTGCACTCCAGCCTGGGCAACAGAGTGAGACTCTGTCTCAAAAATAAATAAATAAATATTTTTAAAAATAAAATAAGAGAGACCCCAGAGAGCTAGCTAGCCCCTTCCAACATGTGAGGATGCAGCTAGAAGATACTACTTATGACCAGGAGAGTGAGCCTTCCCTTGACATCAAGTGGCCCGTCGTCTTAATATTGGACTTACCAGCCTCCAGAAGCATGAGCAATAAAATCCTGTTGTTCACAAGCCACCTGATTTATGGTGTTTTTGTTATAGCAGCCCAAACAGACTAATACATTCCTTATCCCTTCCTCAACCCTTGACTTCAACCTTAGCTAACATATGCTATTTTTAGGTAATACATTGCTCAGTCATCATTTTAGACAGTTTGCAGATTAATTAATATACATAATGCCTTCCACATAATATTCATTTACAAAAGTCCACCTGCAAATAATATGTTCATAACACTCTTGAATTGGAGGTGGTATTTCATGGGTGGGAGGAAGACGGTAAGCAGTTGAAAATTTCCTCCTAAATCTTTCTTCCCCACCCACGACAGATGCTCCTGAAGACCTTTAGATGAACCCCACAGCTCTGCTCTTCACGTCGTGTCTCCTCTTCAGTCCATGTTGTCTAATATGAGAATTTCCTCAGGGGCCTAAAAGAACTGTGATTTGCCTGTACCCACTACATTGGCTTTCAGTGCTGCCAGCCTTAAGGATGATGATATATATATACACAACTAGTCTACTAAGTCTGTAGAACTCAAGTTTAAAAGTAGAAAGAAAATAACAGCATGCTCAGCCCCCTTGCCATGTGATGCCCCGTGCCACCATGGAACTCTGCAGACTCCCCACATGCATGAAAGCTCTCACCAGATACAGTCCACCGACCTTGGACTTCTCAACCCCCATAACTGTAAGAAACGAATTCCTTTTCTCTATTAAAAGAGAGAGAGAGAGAGAGAATAACATCATCTCTAATTTAAGCACACAGGATGGCTCCTGCTGATGGCTGTGAAGCAGACCTGCACAGATGGGCTGATAAAGCAGAGTGGGGGCAGAAAAGAAGAGCGCTAGAATGCAGGGGCTGAAAACTAGGAACAGGTCTCATGAAAGGATCACAGCCACAAGACTGGGAGGATGGCTAGCCCCACAGCCCCGAGTACAGCAACAAGTGACTTGCTGGCTCCAGAAACCTCCAAGTAGAATGTGGCACGGTGAGATCAGGATAGGTCAGAAACATATCATGTGGGCACATGAGTAGTTATGCTGCCCTTCACCCCATCATCTTCTGTGTCTAACCCCATCCTGGGTCCTTGGGAAGATATGAGGAGAAACCAAGACACTGTTCCCAAATCACATATGTTTTAGCAAAATACCTCAGTTCATAATAATTTTCATGTATTGAACATCTGCTCATAAGCTATGCCCAGGAGACCAGATACACTGGTAACGGCAGGGAATACAAGAGTTTGGAGACTCTGGGGA